ATATATATATATATATATCTATATCTATATATCTAGATTAAAATAAAAATATATATATATTATATATATAATTATATATATATATATATATATATATATATATATATATATCTATATATATATATATATATATATATTAGGCTTCACGCAATATTTTTGAAATTGTGATATCATACCTTTTATAGTTTTTGGAACAGATCTAATATTGGCATAATTATTTTGTTAAAATTTCAACTCCTTCATCTGCATATCTGCGGCCAAAATACCGATTTTGGGCGACATTTTTTTATAGTCCGAAAACTGCTGTACATATTTCAAATCTGACTTTAGTATACTATTCTACAGGAAAATTTAAGATATATAAACTTAATTTGACCTGGTTTTATCATTCGTAAATATAATATTCAATGCCCTTAAAAAAATAGTGTTAAAATTTTTAATTTATTGTAATATATGTTATGATGGTTATAATGTTGGCTTGTGGTTTAATAATTTCCCATCAAACAATGGTGTTTTTCATCATCATCTCCGAATTTAATAAAACTCCATCCAATTAATGTTCCATATATAACTTGTATAATGACAAATTTTGGGTCTTATAACTTTCGTGGTTTTCGAAATATAGCGTTGTAAAGTTTAAAATCTGAAAATTTAAAGTCTCATCACATCTAAAGGGTTAATGATAAAATTTTTGTTTCTGCACCATTTGTCTCAGCAAAAAGCATACTTTGGTTATGCACAAAGAACAAAATTTTTTGAAAAAAGTGCATCTTTGGATAATACTAAATGCACTTTTGAAGCATTATAAAAGTGTGAAATTAAGCTCATTCTTATTGATTTTTCCTATAAAATCAATTATTAAAGCATGATTTCCTACAAATTCTACAGTTTCTGCTCTGTAAAAAATGTCGCTCAAAATCAGTGGCTTCCGCCTCAGATATGAAGGAGTAGGAATTTTGAAAAAAATATTACACCATACTAATTACTGATACAAAAACCTTCTAAAAAGTTGTGATATCACAAAAACGGGAAACATTTTATTTTTTGAAACGAAGCCTAATAAATATACTAGCTATACCCAGTGTGCTTTGCTACCCTAAAATCAATGTATATAAAAAACACTTTACGATTTTGAAGATTCTAAATTTAATAGTTTTCCAGATATACATTTTTTACATTTTGGGGATGTCACGCAAATTATTGCAAGTTCGCCAATTTTTCCAAACGTTAATTTAGATTTTATTGTAATCTATGAAAAAACTAAATAATATAATAGTTTCCCACATGTACGAAATTTTGTATTTAATTCATATGGGAGATCCCAATATCCCATTGATAATCCGCCCATTCCGTCGAAGTTTTTCATGTAAAATTTTCTAGTTCTTATATTTTTTCAGATATATGAATTTTCTTTTTAATTCATATGGGAGGATCCAAAAAAAATTTTAAATTTCATCGTGCAAAATTTAAAGATTTTAGATCTATTAGACAAACGACAACGCCCATTTATTTACATGGATGTTAAAGTTGTTCTTGCAAAATTTGAGGATTTTAGCTCTAATAGTTTTTCAAATATACGAACCTTTCTATTTACTTCATATGGGGAGTTCCAAGTCCCCCTGATAAAAGTCCGCCCTTTTTCCCCAAAATGTTTAGATGAATATTAAAGTTCTTCTTGCAAAATTTTAAGAAGCTACCTCTATTAGTATCCCAGATTAACGAATTTTTATATATTTTATTCATATGGGAGGAGGAAATATACTTATTTTGTATGTGCAAAGTAAAGTAAAAAGTAGCCTATAGTTCATTTGAGACATACAGGAAGAGACTGTGAAAATTTCAGAAAAATCGGTTCAGCCGTTTAGCTGAAATGTAATGGCGCTATGGTGGTATATGTTGATGTCCCCATACTTAGAGGGGATAGGATGATACTTAGTGTTAGCTTTATTCAATAAGAACCATTATAGAAATAATATCCACATATTACCCCCAATTAGAAGGGGTTTCATAATGTAATTTTTGTTTAACAATACAAAATGACCCAAAACCCAGGTTATTTTGTTATACTATATATATAGTTTTATACCCCTCTAAAAATTTTTTTCTAGGTCCAAGTCCATTATTTTTCAAGTATATCATGTATCCAAATAAAAATTACTTATTATTTTCGAAATAAAATCCAAAAAACGACGGATTTCCTGTTAAGTCAAATATTGATAAATTCTTATAGGAATGTACATAGGATATTAAGTCGGTTAAGAAATATCCAAATTTAGTCGTACCAATACGAAAATATTATAGATTTTTATTTTAATCTACTGGAGAAATATAATCATTTTCATTTAAACAACTAAGATCCCCATTTGTGCAATTGAGGACGTTTATTCGACTTTTTTATGAAATCCCTGTTCAAATTCTGTTCAATTATAAATTATAATTGAACAAATATTATAATTTATAATATTTGTAAACATTTTAAAACATTGTTAAACGAAATGTTCACAATGCTGGAGTACTCCACTCTGCACTCCAGTAAAAAAATGTTAACTGTTCAAAATACAGTGTGGAAAAATTTCCAAATAATTTGTCAAAAAATGTACATTTGTCAAAACAACAAAAGTAAACAAAATATTGAAAATAATAAATGTTTAAAAATGTATATTTTGGGAGAAAATTTGGTTTTTGGAAGCTTTTTAAACAATATTTCGATCCAACAAGGACCTGCAAGTTTTCGTTTTAATGTACGTTTTTCAACTACCCAACCTGATGGAACAAACCGTGTAATATACCATGAACTTTTTAAAAGTTGCAACCTATTTTTCTTTGTTTTGTTTGAGTTTGATTTTTCCTCCCTTTCCCTCAAGTTATTTTTTTAATGATGCTTTGTTTTTATTTATGCCCTGTGTTTAACAATCTTCCAATTCCTCTGCAATCACCCATGCCCCTTTATGAACAGTTTGCCGTTACCAATGTCGATGCTGTCCAACACTTATCCTTTGTAACCTGCCTCTTGTAAATAGTGATCAACCTGGCCTGTCCTCTGTATGTATGAATATAAGTCCCTTCGGCTTAACCAAACCTCTATCCTGCAAAAAAACATCATTCATTTTCCAAGAAGACATTCAAAATGTGCTTATTTATTTAAAATATTGAAAAAAAAAATATTTTTTTTATTTATTTTTTACAATATTTTTGTTTTTTTAATTAACATTTGTCATGTTAGCATTAACATTTTTATGTTAACTCCAGAGTGAAAATAATCTACACTCTGGAGTAGAAATTGTTTGACTATGGAAATAAAGTCAAATTTGGAATTAGTATGAAAAAGAATGAAATACAATTTGCTGGAGTGTGGAGTACTCCAGCATTATGAACGTAGCTTAAAAAACAAAAATTAAATTATTTAAACAAAAAATTATAAAAAAATGTCAATACTTCGTATATTAAAAAGTGATCAATACAAAGCGTATTTATTTAATGCACAATGAGACTGTTCAAGTTTGCCAGTCTAAATTGTCGCACAAACTTATAAGTGTTGTGCAAATCAATTCCCATACAATTCAATTGCGAGAATGGAAAGCACACGTTGCACAGTTTACGAGGGTTTTGAACGTTTAAATGAGAACCCTTATTAAATTTTATTAAATAATATAGCAACATTAGAAAAATTAACAAAAAAATCTAAAAGAAAAATACTTCTAAGAAAGGATCGAAATTACTTGTGTAGAGGATATGATTAACAAGATGGTGGGCCTTAGTTCTGCTATGACACATTGGCTCTATAAAAGTGTAATTAGACCAATCCTAATTTATGCTTCTATAATCTGTTGGACTTCTTTGTAAAAAAGTGAAATATCATACTACTACAGTGGAGCCATTGGAGCATTGAAACATATATAAGATATGAGGCGGCACTTACAGCCGAACGGCTCATAACTTTAGGCGAACTGGCCAAAAGCGGTTATAGGACACTCATCAATGTATACATTACACATTGGAAGGCACAATCATCGGATGTGCCCGATCGCATGTCAGAGACAAAATATGTCGGAAACTTTGCAACGCTGATCCCAGATAGAATGTCTTGGTTAAGCGGGCCTTTAGAGCAAATACCAGTAGGAATCCGTTGCTACACGGATGGCTCTAAATTGGGAGACAAAGTGGGCCAGGGTTTTTATATTGAAGACCCAGAAACAGAAATATACCACCGTTCACCTAACACAACACTAGCTTTCAGACAGAAGTCCGAGCAATAACGGAATGCGTAAATTGGATTAGAATAAATATGGCTCCTACAGGGCTTAACATATTTACCGACAGCCAGAAGGCAATTTATCAGATGATAAAGTTAAATCTAAAACAGTATTGGATTGTAAAAAAGCTCTAACCGAATACACTCCCAGAGGTAAGGTTCACATCATAAGGCCTCTTGGAATAATGAAACCGTGGGTAGAACCACAAAGATCCTATAAGGTGACCCTAACGAGAGTAGGACGAGAAGCCTCCTCAAAATGAACAAGTCTGAGATTAGTATGATGGTACGTATTCTTAGTGGATACACAGGATTACGGCACACCTATTCAAAATTTGACGTGCGGATTCAGACGAATGTAGAGAGGACAGCGAAACTCTGGAGCACTTTCTTTGCCATTGCCAGGCTTTCGCTGAAATTAGATCCAAATATCTTGGAAGTGATATTATTCCGGATATAATATCCCTCACGAACACTGATTGGAAAATTCTTAGGAATTACGTCCAAGAAATTGAGTTTCTGAACATCGGACGATAATACATACTATATAAGGTTTTTGTTTTTACCAACAAACAATTTCCATGAAAAGGTGCGCATAACAGGCCCGATAGTGGCCTAGGTGTTGATGTAGATACATCCTCCAATCAACCTAACCTAACCCTAACCTTATTAACCTAAATAAAACACATTTTTCTGATTCTGATGAAAGCAAAAATGACTTTTTTTTCTTATTTTTAATTTTACTTACCTGTTGTTTTATTTATCTCAAAAAATCCCTCCGGATTTCCAGATATTATTTTATAAGTTATAAGTGTGGCAGGATCTTCATCATCATCAGTAGCGTTTAATAAAATAACTCTTGTTTTTGGAGGACTTCCTTCTTTTATTATTGGATAGTATACGGGTTTATTCGTCAGTGGCACATTGTCATTTACATTTTCGACTTCTATGTAGACCTAAAAACATTTATATAGTAAACCAAGAAGTAATCCACTATATAGATAAAAATATACATACCTGCACACAGCTAACCAAGGGAACAATTGCACCATCTTGAGCACATAATGTTAGCCAGTAAAATTTTTTCGATTCAACATCAAGATGCGACAACGTTCGAATAGAACCTATTGTAAATATTTTTAATTTAAGTATTTAAAAAATACAAAATAATATAAATGTATGTATATATGTCTATCTACAGGTCTATCTACAAATCTAAAAACTGAAGCTATGTATACACGATTGTTAGATCTTACAACGTTGGCAGTAAAATGTGCAGAAAATGTCAAACAACAGTGTCAACTTACACATTTTATCTTGCAACAACGTTGTTAATTTTTATAAAAAAATGATTATTTTTTTGGATTCAGCTGTTTACACTTAAGTATTTCTAGTTCATGCACATAGGTCTGGCTTATCATGTTTTTTAGCCAAAACTATAAAAATATTTTTTTTAAATCGAAAATATATTAATTTGTGATGGATTTATATAAATTTTCGCGTTTTTAACCCCTAATTAAAATATTGGAAGTATTTTTGAAATTTTTTATTTTTTAAGCAAAAATAAGCTTTAAAAAATTTGTTATGTTAAAATTAGTTATGTTAAATTTATGTTAAAATTAATTAATGGCAAATATTTCCCAACAAATTGGTCTAATTTAGATTTATTATATTTTTCTCAACAGTTTTAACCATGTTGTTTTATTTATAATTAAAGACCCTATAAAAATCTTTCAAGTCTTTACTTCAACACTGCAGCACCAAAAAAGTAATTGCACGATTTGAGTTTTGGCCATAAATTGCGTATTTCTGTATGTGCTATGTTTAAACTACATGCGTTGGGTACTTAAACTATTAAACAAAATTAACTAATTGAGTACTTAAAACACATTAGAAAAAAATAAAATTTTAAATTTATGAAAAATATTTTACTTTCGTTTTATCACGGTCTAATGTGTAGTAGATTTTCCAAAAAGCAAAAGTCCTTTTTAGAATCTTTCAAGTCTTTACTTCAACGCTGCAGCACCAAAAAAGTAATTGCGCGATTTGAGTTTTGGCTATAAATTGCGTATTTCTAGACCTATGTGACATGTTTAAACTACATCCATTGGGTACTTAAACTAATAAACAAAATTAACTAATTGAGTACTTAAAAACTGCTTTCGAAGATCAATTTTAATTAAATCACTAATCGTTCACCTAAAGATTGGCTCTAGGAAGAATAAAAGTCCAATTTTGTTTTATTGTTGTACTTTTTTTATCGAATCAAACATTCATACGAATCAGATTATATTATATAGTAGATTTAAAATTTACATATTCTTACCTTTATCATTAACAGAAAATATCCCAAGTCCATCACCACTGCGTATGAAGTATTCAATTTCAGAATTAGGGCCTTTTTCATCTAGATCCTTGGCCGATATATTCATAACCACAGTTCCCTTAGGACTATTCTCCTTAATTTTACTTACAAATACGTAATCGTCGAATTCAGGAGCATAGCGATTTTCGTTGACGTCTATTACTTCAACCACAACTGGCATATTTGATGTAAGAGCAGGTGTTCCCCGATCTATTGCGCAAACCATAAGATTGTGTACTTGCTGATTTTCATAATCTAAATAACCCTGAGTCCGAATAACACCACTATGTTTATCAATTTTAAATAACGAATTATTAAGAGTCTCTTCTTTTAGAAAAAATAAAATTTCCCCATTTATACCGGAGTCAAAGTCACTTGCTTCAATTTGTGCTATCATTGTTCCTTTGGGGAGATCTTCACGAACTTTAAAAAGTATTTCTTGAACTCCGAAAATGGGAGGATTATCATTTACATCATCCACAATAATAGTAATTACAGCTTCTGCCGAAAGTGAAGGATAACCTTTGTCTTTAGCAACAATTTTGAGTTTATGTTCTTCAGTTTGTTCTCTATCAAGTTTTCCATTTACAAATAAACATCCAGTGGTAAAATTTAATGCAAAGTTGGTTGTTTCTGTTTTCATTTTAAATTCAATTAAAGCATTTACTCCAAAATCAGCATCAGTTGCTTTCAGGCAAAATATTTGTGTTTTATTGTCTACATCTTCCCTTAAATGGAATCTGGCAAGCGATTTCTGAATCACTGGTGGATTATCATTAACATCTAAAATTGTCACGGTTAACATTTTTGAAGCACATTTACAGGGCTGTCCTAAATCACAAACAGTTATATTTAAAACGTATTCATCCTGGCGTTCTCTATCTAGGTATCCTATTAAAAGTAACTCTCCGCTGTCAGGATCAACACGAAATACTGAATCAAAGTCACCTTCTGATATTCCAAAAATTAGTTTGCCGTTATAACCCAAATCTCTGTCCTTTGCTTTAAACCATATAATAGTTTCCCCTAAGGTAAGACTTTCGTTAATTTTTAATTCCATAGGAAAATTAATGAATTCTGGGTTGTGTAAGTTTTGGCCATATCTACTTGGCATTAAAATGTATTCATCGCTATTTATCTCCTTATCACCCATATTATTTCGTTCCGAAGCTGCTAAAGTATCTGCTAACTTTTTAGCAATTCCCGTTTCGTGACATTCAAAACTGGTGTAGCCATTTTCATCAATATTTGTAAGAATTTCATACATTTGATTTCCTAAAAGCCTAATTTCAATAGTCATTTCATCCGAAAAATGTGTTCCATCAGTAGAAGATACATTCAAGAAGCGATGAGATGACCGCACATCCTTTAGATCACAGCCAATTGTTATAATGCCTGTCGTTGGATCTAGGTTAAAACAGCCATCGTCGTTTCCAGATAGTAAACGATATGTTATGTAATCACCAACATCAAAGTCGATGGCGGATAATGTAAAGATGTCGGTTCCAACTGGAGCATTTCGAGATATTTTACCAACACAATTAACTCGTTCAAATTGAGGTCTGTTATCATTTATATTATTTATTTTTATTAAAATTTCCTTTTCGGTTTGCCTTCGAAAAGGTAATCCCCAATCGGACGCTCTGATTCTTAATTTATACGAGCGACGCATAACTTCATAGTCTATTAGGGAACTTGTTCTTATTACTCCACTAAAATGATCTATATCAAATGGAACATCATTAAGATTCGCTATACTATAAGAAATATACGAATTCTCCCCAGAATCATTATCTCTAGCTGATACTTTTGTAACAAATGTTCCGGCAAGTTCATTTTCATTTAAAGAGACTGTTGATACGTTATCATCAAATATAGGATCATTGTCATTTATATCTAAAATATTAATTTTTACTTTAGCAGAGGATTGCTTTCGAACTCCTAAGTTTGCCTGGTCAATGGCGGTTACAGTAAGGGTATAAAATGAAGTTTTCTCTGCGTCTAAAGCTTTTTGTGTATATAACATTCCAGAATCAGGATTAATTCTGAATTCCCCTCCTTCGTTACCTCCTACTATTTCTAATGTTACTAATGCGTTTCTGCCAAAATCGGGGTCAGTTACTTTTAATCGTATCACCGGCATATTTGGTGGAGAAGTTTCTGGTATAGAGACTTCGTAAAACTGTTTTGTAAAAACAGGACCATTATTTTTTTCCACGTTAATAATAATTGGAACAACTTTATAGCTAAATTTCATAGGAATTCCATTATCTTCTACTCTAATAGTTAAGTTAAAAACATTTCTGGAATTATTAAATGTAGATAACTTATTCAAGTTTATATAATATTCCCCTTTTGTTTCAGTTTCGGTTAGACGGAAGTTGCCGTTGGGATCACCGGATGTTATTTTCACTACATTTATCTCTCCATTGCGGCCACTGTCCTTATCAAATACCTGTATAATGCCATATACTTTATTTTCAGCAATTATACTTTCGTTAACAACTGTATTTGAGAGTGTGGTAATATGTATTTCAGGAGCAAATAAATTTGTCTGGAAATAAACAAATATTTCTTTTAATAGAAATTACAATTTTGACCGTAATTATAATTCTAAGCATAAATGTTAAGTAATGATAAGTTTTCATAATCATTACTAGTTAGATTATTATACCGTAAACCTTCGCGAGGTTATATAATATACATATATGTACATTAGAGGCGTCCAAAAAATATGAATTTTGCTCGGATGGGTCCCATTTTGTTCATTGTTCATTAGCGTCTAAAACTTACTGGTGTAAAATTTTAGCCAAATCAGGAAATCAATTAAAAAGTGTAAAATTGGGTAAATAATAGGATTTTTTGATTTCTTCAAAAATTGTACCATTAAAATTATCGTTTTTCAACATTTCGACCAAATCTTATATTCTAGAGAAAAGTATTCATCAAGCGAGGTATAAAACATTAATATCAAAGGACAAACAACAATGTAATTGACAATTTCACAAGCCATATATTAACAAGTTAGAGTGCTATATTCGGCTATGCCGAATCTTAAATACCCTCCACCAGGAAGCTACTCTTTATTAAAACCCTTTTAACAATTATGAAATAACTGTCTCCGTTCTTGGAACTGAAGAAAATCAAGATAAGCAAACACAAGCAAAGGCGGAATTAATTCTGTTGGTGGATAAAACTATTTATCCACACATTCGTAATTGCAATAGCGCGAATGAAATATGGGGTATAATATTCCCAACTTATATGTCAATTTGCTATCAGTTTCGAAAATTGTGGAATCTGGTTATGAAGTCGCATTTAATAAAAAAGGGTGCAAGGTATCGAAAATCTTCGGTAAGGTTATTGCAACAGGTGATCTGGTGAATGGTATGTTTAAATTAAACATTGCTAGCAATAGTGTGCTTATTTCTGAATTGTAAAATGAAGAATACAACTTGTGGCATAAACGTGTTGGCCATGCAAATGATGAAATCTTAAAAAGTATGAAGTCTGGTGTAGTCAATGGTGTCAATTGTGAAATTATCAAGCAAAACTACATAACTTGTATAAAAGGTAAGCTATCCAGATCTTCATTTAGGGATCCTGGAACGTGAGCAACAGAGGTATAAAGTCTAATACACTCAGACGTTTGTGGACCTATGGAAATACTGTCAATTAATGGTTCAAAATATATGCTAATATTCGTTGATGATTTTAGCAGGAAAGTAACGGCCTATTTTATAAAAACCAAAGATGAAGTAACAGATAAATTTGTGGAGTTTGTTGGAGAAAATGAAAACCTTTTGTCGCAAGAAAATTTCCAACAATATTTTTTTTACCGCAACAACATGAAAGTATTTGAAGTTTTTTGACAGCAAAATTATTTGTTGCGAATAGAATGGCTTTTGTAGTTATAGGTTTTTCTCTGAAATAACGGCACATTGAAAATTGCTGTTGTTAAATGATTTGCATTTGCAGAAAATAAAAATGTTTGTTGCCACAAAATATTTATTTTATGAATCAAATAATATTACTGTTGTCGTAAAAAAATTGTGCATTTGTCAATGACATGTTTGGTAGAGTTGTGCCGCTCTCAACTAAAACGCTCTTTTTAATGATTGAGTTAAAAGGTTATACTATGACTACAAAACAATTACAAAAACAACAGGTAATTTCTTATTTTGTGATACACTAAAACAATGTTTTTGTAATTGAATTGTAGACGTAGTATAACATTTTTAATAAATCACAAGCATTTAACATTATTCTATTTTACTATTCATTTTGTGGTGACCGCAGAGCAATTAACATCGTGTGTGCGTACTCACAAAAAAAGGACTGTAATGTAAAGAAAGTTTGAGTTTGGTTCCAATAGAATTTACATTCGGATTGTGCCCAACAACTTTTAATTTTGATTCAAATATAATTTACATTCTGAATGAAAATGGAACATGGGAACTTGTAAAACTACCAAAAGGAAAGAAACCTATTGACAGCAAATGGTGTTTCAAAATCAAAAGAAACTCTAAAGGTGATATAGAGCGATATAAAGCGAGGTTGGTCATAAAAGGTTATTCCCAGTGCTACGGAATTGACTATGAAGAAACATTCTCTCCAGTAGTTCGATATTCCTCAATTCGACTATTCCTAAGTTTGGTTGTTCAGCACGACTTGGATATAGACCAAATGGATGTATGCTTATGGATGGTGGCTTTCCTCCAAAGTGAACTAAATGATGAAAAATATATGACGATTCCTGAAGGTTTCAATGAAAAGATAGACTTAAGAAATCTTTGAGTGGTCTTAAGCAAGCAAGTATATTGTGGAATCAAAAACTGGATAAAACATTGAAGAAAATTGGATTAACTCAATTAAAAACGGAACCTTGCGTATATTACAAGTTAGCCAAGGATGAAATAACTTATGTAGCAATTTACGTTGACGACATTAAAAAAATAAATTGGATATAAAGAAACGTTTTACAGAAAATTTTAAAATGAAAGACATTGGTGAAGCGAACTACATATTGGGGATGAAAATCACAAGAGATAGAAAGAATGGAAAACTGTGGCTTGATCAGGAACAAAATATATTAACAATATTTAAAAGAAATTTAAGATGGATGACTGCAAGCCAATTTCAACTCCATTGGATATTAACCAAAAAATTTCCAAAGATATGTGCCCGCAAACAAAGGAAGAGAGTGATGACATGAAATCCATACCGTACCAAGAAGAAATAGGAAGTATTATGTATGCAGCTCAAGTAAGCCGCCCTGATGTATCGTTTGCAGTGGGGGCTTTGGCTAGATACAACAATAATCCTGGAAAGGCACACTGGCAAGCAGTAAAGCGCATAATGAGATGCCTTAAAGGAACAACAAATTACAAGTTGCAGTTCTCAAAAGATGAAAATGTACATATTGAAGGATTCTCAGATGCGGATTAGGCTGGCAACTTAAATGATAGAAAATCAACTTCTGGTTATGTTTTCAAATTTTAAGGAGCTTGCATTTCATGGAACTCCAAGTAGCAACAAATAACAGCTTTATCAACAACAGAAGCTGAATATATAGCTTTGGCAGCAGCTGGGCAAGAGGCGTTGTGGCTGCGATCTCTGTTTAATGAACTTGTACGATCATCGCCTATTGTGATACAGTGCGCTAATGCAAGCGCTATAAATTTGTTGCATAACCGTACTTATCATGCTCGACATACGACATCATTTTATAAGAGATCTCGTAAATGACAAAAAGGTTGTTATTGAATATCTGAATACCGAGGATATGGCAGCAGATGTTTTAACGAAATCCTTTACAAGTTTAAAGCATTTACATTGTTGTGATATTATGAATCTTGGCGTTCATCCTAGTGGGGGTGTTGGAGAATGCAATGAACTTTCTTTATACTTATATATACTTGTTTTGTTTACTTTGAATTTAATAAATTTAGTCTGTAAATTTTAATTAGAAAATTTATTAGTAAAAAAATAAATCTTTCACTCCTTGTTTTCTCGTAAATCAAATATAACCTATTAACACATATGAACTTATTTTGATTAGGTCGAAAAAATAATTTTAAGTGATTTTCGGATATGGACTTTTTAAACGACCTATAACCTATAACGAATCAATTGGAAAACATTTTAGCTGAATGATTTATCTAACACAGATTTTAGATTATGACGAATTTTATCCGGATATAATCATTTAATAACGAATATGTGGTATTTAGTGATTTTCAGAAGTGAACCTTATATAGGGCTATGACTGTTTATGGACCGATCCGGAAAACATTCCGTATACTGATTTATATCTACACCAAACATATTCAAGTTGAATTTTATCCCGATAACTTTTATTGTCAGTGAAATGGGATTTGTGACCAATTATTTCGGGAGCTATGACCAATTATGGACCGATTCGGAAATATTTCGTCGAGTGATTTATACATACACAAAACATATTCATGTCGAATTTTAACTCGATAGCTTTATTTATCAGTGAAATATGGAGTTCGAGTAATTTTCGAAAGGGGGACTTATATGAGGGCTATGACCAATTGTGGGCCGATACAAATCTGCGTTAGTAGCATGATTTCTGTTCATATTATATATATATGTGCAAAATTTTGAGTTGATACCGATATATTTTAGGAAGTTATTAAAGATAAATCCATTTCCGGAAATATATAATATACCTTTGTATAGGGGCTATGGGAAATTTTGGATCGATTGTTTTGATTTTCAACATAATTGATCCCTGAAAAAAAATAACGTGTGACAAAATTCATCGAATTATTTTTCGTAATTTCTGAGAAAACGCCTTAAGAATTTCGAAAAAAACTTAATTTTTTTCGAGGTAGTCTTAATTATTTACTCATAACTTTTAACGATATGAACAGATTTACTGGACAACAATGAATATTTTTGGTGAATTTGGTTGATATCTTTTGCTTAGTTTTAACGTGAGCATGTTTTAGGCAGACAGACAGACAGACATAGCTAAATCGACTCAGAATTTCATAAGGATCAAGAATATATATGATTTTTCTCAGATAAATATTTCTTGGTGTTACACACGGAATGACAAAGTTATATATACGCTCTATCACCACTGATGATGGTGTAGGGTATAATAACAATCCTGCTCCAGAGATGGTGGTGGAGGTTTTAATAATCGAATTTTGAAAAGATACAGAAGTTTTCCTTTCGGAAATCATTTTTTTTTTTTTTTTTTTTGAAGAGAAATTAAAAAAAATACTTATAAATATAAAAAAATACTTATATATATAACTAAACGTGTTTTACAATTGGCAAAATATTTTTTTTATATTAAATACTGTGAAGACAATTTATTAAAATAAAGAAATTGAAGTAAAAAGTTCTATACTGTGAACAAACAAATATATTTTGAAGTTTTACTAAATTTAACAATAAAACATGATATTTTAAATATTTCTTCAATGTCCTGCATATAACCTCAATACTTATACCGGCTTATTATTTATTCAAGTGGGATTATACATATATACATACATATATTAAATATCAAAA